AAATTTCTCCTTAGTTCTAGGTTGCTTCTCTCCTTGATTAGTTTCCATCCATTGCTTCTTGTCCTGCCCTCAGGTGCTTTGGAGAATAGCTTGACCCCTTCCTCTTCTCTGTGGCAACTCCTGAGCTACAAGGCAATCGGCTTGGACATTCATACTCTTTACCCGTGACGCCTCTGATAAGGGGTAGACCTTCCACTTGCTTACATATTGGACTTGTCTCCTGTGCCACCTCGAATTGAGGATTCATTGCACCTCATGATGGGTTTGGCCTTCTATTACAATTGGGTTTGGGGGCTCATGAGCTAGGGGCCTCAGTGTTGATCCAAGCACGGGTTTTAATAGGCTACTATGGAATACCGGGTATGTTTTCTCTAACAATCAGGGCAACTTCAATTGCACCGTGACTGGGATGATCTTTTACTATGGGGAATGGCCCCATGAACTTTGGCCCCAATGTCTTGCTAGGCAGTCTTAACCCGAGATGTTTGGTGGAGAGTTAGACACTATCATGTCACCCACAGCCCTTCTTTTTTTTAAACTAGACATACCCAATTCCTGCAATTGTTCTTCATGTATTTTAGCCTCCAGTCCCCTAATCATCTTTGTTGCTCTTCTCTGCACTCTTTCTAGAGTCTCAACATATTTTTTCACATTGGGTTGACCAAAGCTAGATGCAGTATTCCAAGTGTGGAATACCGCATCCAGCTTTGGTCACCACAAGGTAATATTTCTTCTAACTCTCTCTAGCGTTCTTAGCCAATACCTGCTGATTTATTTTACCATTTATCATTATTCAGGTCCATATCTATTTGAGCATTCTGAAATTAATCATTGCAAGCAAAAGAAAAACCCTTTCCTTGGATTTCCCCATTAGATTCACTGATGCCCTTTAATAGCAAAAGTTTGCAAGCTTGTTCCAGCATGAAAGCAAATGCAAAAATCAGTTAAAGATAGATTGAGTGGCTCTGAGTAGTATTTCCAGAGCTTAGCGAAAGGTCTGGACATGCTTTTAAATGCAAGAAGTTATATTCAGCAAGCATGATTGTTGTGTATAATTGGCGGCTTCCCAGTGAGATTTGAAACTGCCCTAGCATTTCTAGGGTTACGACAGCATTCTCAGATTTCCTATGCGAGCAGTATTTTTTTTTAGCAAAGAGATTTTTATTACTCTACTTTTTTTCAAACACAATGAAAATAAGTGCTCTGCCCCATTTTAAAGCATTTTGTTGGTATTGCCTTGCTTGTCAACCAGAAATCTAGGTTGATTAAAGCAGGAGAAAGTAAAAATATTATTCATAGCGGATTGTGGATTGGCGGTCTTCTGACTATCATGAGATGAGAAAAGGTGAATCAATCATTTGTGGTTATACCACCAAATAAAGGCAGAGCCCTGGTTGATTGACAAAATCATGGACTAGGAAAAGGCCTCTAAATCCATTGAATCCAACCATTTGTCAGAAATGGTGCTTGGGCGGGGGTTTGACTAGATGACCTAAAGGTCCCTTTCCAACTCTGTTAATCTAATCTAATTTAAACCACCTTGTGAAGTACAGGAATCCAAATTAAAACTCCATGACCAATTATTGTCCTGGTAAAGCTCACCACCAATGGCATCTGCATTAAACTGCAGTGAAGACAAGACAACATGCTTGCAGTGATATAATCACACAAATATTACATTAGATGCAAATCTACTAAGTCCAGAAATTAATATGATTGCAGCATCACACACATATTGTCACCCATATATGTCCACCCATCTCTCTAGGTAAAAGTTTCCCACTCTTAAACTGCTCTTAATGATAGGCATTGCGATATTTTCCCAGTATACAGTGGGAATCTGCCTTCCATATCTTAGGTTCTGGGTTCTGCATTCTAGGTTGATAAAGAAAAGGTATCTTTTCTGTTGTTGGAGAAAAAATCCAGTCTTCTTCCAAACCAGGAGAAAGACACTGGAAATAAAATGGAAGCAGGCTTCAGGAAAGGAAGTTTCTACTTATTTGGTAGCCAGAAACTAGAGACAGTCAACCACTTTTTGGGGTGGTTGACAAAATTGGGTTGAGAGTGAGTGAGCTTTTATACATTCTTAAGGGCATTGTGATTGAGATGTCTGTTCCTATGCAAGAATATGTTCTTTAATATTTTAATGGCTGTTGCCAGATTCCTATGGGGTCATGTAGGGATCATGGCTGGCTCTACAGGCAAAAGGAGAAATGCAAATCGTTCCGCTCCTTGCCTATTGTATTGCTTATTTGGAGTTTCTGGTTGATCTTTGCTTATGAATAGATTGGTGCAGTCTTTCTGAATGAATACAAAATCTCCATTCCTAAAGACTAGCCTCTTCATGTTTCTGCTTGAGGCTGTTTTCCTACAGCAGGAAGACTGGGGCTGCTTTCTGCCTTTAAGAAAATATTTCTCCATTTCTCTTTCAGGAAAATATTTTATTCTTCCTGTTTTTAATATTAAAAATAAAGAATATTTTATCCTGGGGAAGGGGTGGGGCTTCCTTCACTGTGATATTCCCACAGCTATTTAATAAGTGTTATCATATCCTCACAAGTGATATAATACTTGGCTGTTGGCACTTGGCTGTAGTCTTAGAATCATATTTGACATTTCAGCACTCCTTTGACCTTAACAACAGCATGTTATACAAAAAATCATACATCCCAGCCAGTCTATCTAATGAACACCTTTTTCCCCCTCTATATCCTTACTAGAAATAGAGCATATGTCAGAACGGCTCATTTAAGACAGAAGACAGGTAGAGAATGGCTGATGGAAATGCTCATTTTTAGGAGTGAAATTGAAGAGAGCGATTTAAAGGTCTCACCAAGCTAAGAAAGAGCACGTCTTTCTTTTGCCTTCCTGCTATATCAGTACCACTGGGCTGACATTTAAATGCTCCTTTCCTATCAGTCTTTCTTTAAAAAGCTTATGAAAAATGAGCACTAATTAAGGAGTTGGGTGGGTTCCTTCAGTGGTGGGATTCAAAAAATTTACTACTGCTTCTGTGGGCATGGCTTGGTGGGCATGGCAGGGAAAGGATACTGCAAAATCCCATTCCCTCCCCATCCCATTAACCTGCTTTCCAGCGCTGTTCTCCTGTGCAGGGCAACAAAAGAAGACCCAGCCAATCAGCTGGGACTCGGAAGAGAATAGATGGGGTGGGGCCAGTCAGAGGTGGTATTTACCGGTTCTCTGAACTATTCAAAATTTCCGCTACCGGTTCTCCAGAACTGGTCAGAACCTGCTGAATATCACCTCTGGGTTCCTTCAAGCTGATAGCACATGTCAAGTAAGGCAGCTTGCAATCCAGTAGGATCAGTTTGTGGTCCACTTCATTTTCATAGTCAATAATTTCCTAGTTTATTAGGGATTTTTAAAAAGCAGAGTTATAAGAAATTGGTGGGTAGCCCCAATTTTAAACACTTGTTCCACTATCAAGCAAATATTGGTTCCAGGATGCAATTAATTAATTGCCAATAATTTTCTGAATTTTCTATAGCCCATTTTATCTGAACTTTATCACTTGCACCTTCTTTACATTTTAAAGAGAGATGCACCTAAAGTCTAAATGACTTGTATTTACCCCGTACTAAAGGCCATCAGGTCCAAATGGCCCATATTCTTCAGACAAGATAAGAGATTATCTTTCTCTCTCTTGCAGTTTATATTGACGTCAGAACATGATGGCATTCCTGATGTTCTCCTTCCGTCATGCCAGTTTGGCCTTTTTCCCTCCCAGCCTATGTTTAAACAATCTTGGGTTGCATTCTGGAAATGCTCCTGCTTAATCTTGACACTGAGCCATGATGTGTAAACTTTATCTTCCTCCTTGCCATCGTCCTTAGCAAGGAGGTGTATTTGTGTGACCTGACCAGTTTGCCCAGTCATTGGTAAATTTCAGGGGTGGAGTGAGAAGGGAGGGGAAAGCTTGTAATTTAGACAAGCCATTGGCTGTTTGTCAACCAATCACCATCCTCAAAATATTTCTCAACAACATTTATAGGACAATATCTCTCCATAGGTGGCTGCAATAGCAACAACAGCCTGTTAAAGAATGCGGTTCTCCCAGGAAACTATATAACTACGGAATTATGCTAAAGATCCCCCGTTCCTGAAGAATACACGCTGCTTTACAAACAAACTCAAGAAGTTTACAGAGCAATATTCTAGCTTAGTTTTCCTCCACCAGATCTTCTAAATCATACATCCCAGCCAGGCGGCATTCATAAACCGGTTGGCTGGGAATGATGGGAACTGTTAGACCAGCACGTCTGCTGTTGCCTCAGTCCGTAAAACTAGATGAAACCGTGCCTTTATTTTCCCTAACCGCAACTGAGAAGAAGGGGGTATTTAATTGGACACTCGCTTGTCTGAAATGGTATGGGTTCTCTTGTTTGAGCAGGGGGCTGGACTAGAAGACCTCCAAGGTCCCTTCCAGCTCTATTTCTATTGTGAATCAGGACAAGGGAAGAAGAGCAGGGGATCACAATGGATCGTGTGTCTGTCCGCTCAGCGTGGACATCCTCTCGCTGGTTTAGATATCGCGTTGGACTCTGAGGCTTTCCCGGAACGAAGGAGCGCATTACGCAAGATTAAAGAGTAAAAGATACGCCACGCCCTTTCGTCCCGGGTTCTGCTCCCAGCTCCGGCCGGTGGCCGGCTTCCACCTGCCTCTACGAAGTGCAGCGACCGCGATGGCAGGCGCTCGACTCGCTGGGTTCCCCGGAAGAAATGGGCTCGCCAAGAACCGGGAGCGAAGAGGAGACTTCGCCAGGATGGCCCGGTTCCGGGAGGAACGCAGCCAGATGGCCGCAAGCCTCGAGGTCTTCGCGGGGAAAGTTTCCGTCGGACAGCAGGGAGGAGGGGAGACCGGCGCCTTCGCCCTGAGCGATGACTCGATCCGGCCCGCGAGCTCTGAGTCCCGCCGAGGCTTCCCCGCCCCCGGCCCCACCCAGCGCTCTGCTCTCCTCCCCTACCTTCCAATTGGCAAGCCCAGCAGCCGGCCCCTAAAGCTATATATGCCTTGAACGGCCGCGCTATGGGACCCGAGCGGAGAGAGCGCAGCATCCTCATCCCGCCGCGCTCCAGCCCTTCCCTGCCGTTGCGCCGAAGGAAGAAGAGATCCCCATCCGACACCACCGACTCTTCCTCGAGGTTGCCACGAATCCCGACTGCCCGAGCCTTCCCGGGGCTAGATCGCGGCCGTTTTAGGTTCCCTTCGTAGCTCTTCTCCACCTTCCTCCCGCGCTTGACTTTTCAGGGTATAGCCCTCCCGCAGCTGGAGGTTCGCCGGCGTTTGAACCACCCACCCACCCACCCATCGTGCCATCCAGTACCAGAATTATGAGTTCCCCTTTGAGGCGAGCCGCCCTGCTCAGCTCTCTCCTAAAGCTGCGAGGTCCTGGGAGCGCACCTGCTTTGCAGCAGCAGCAACAGCTGCCCACTTCGTCCGTGTGTGCCTTGGAGCCCAAGGCTCAGGTGCCTTCTTGCCCCATGCACGCTCCCCACTCACTTTCTGCCTTGCCAGGTCCTGTCAAATGGCCTCTGATGGGCAGCCTCTTAGACATCCTCTGGAAAGGGGGGCTCAAGAAACAGCACCAGACGCTGGTGAGTAATCTGTGTTCCCCCACCCAACCCTTCCCAATAGATCCTTTTGCCCAAATCTGGCATTTGGCTGACTGTTGAGGGTCATGTATGGTAGAACAGGTAGTTAGTTCTTTGAATGGCAAAAGTAGTTGCTAGCCCTCTCTGACCTTAAGGTTTTAGTGGCAGGATTGAGAAAGGTCTCTTAAGAGCTTGGAAAGTTTTTGCAAGATCATCTAGTTCAGCATCCCCTATGGTTGTGGTGGACTGACCGATTGCCAAATTCCCAGACAGCATCATTCCCTACAGATTGGATCAGGTTAATCAAGTCTTCAACCAATGCAGGGAATCAGTTGCTGGCGCATCCTCAAATGTGTTCCTGCATCTTTCTTTAAAAACTCCTTAAGGAAGAAGCAAGCACTTTTTGAGATAACATGTTCTTATATCGCCACACTACGAAGTCCTTAATCAAATGCTTAATATAAGCCTCCCCCCACCAACCATCACCACCATTTGAATAGATTCATTCTGGTCCATCTTTTGTCTGTGTCTTATAGAATGCTAGATAAGTCGATGTGTGAATTGAAAGTTGTGTGTATTGTACGGTATGTTTATTTGCCTCTTCTTGCAAGGAGTTCTGTGGGTGAGCCTTGGTGATGGAGTCCTTAGCTGCCCGGTTTAACCTCCCCTCTTCCTTTCTTTTTCTTTCTCCTAAAGGCTGAGTACCACCAGAGGTTTGGCAAAATCTTCCGCATGAAACTTGGGAGTTTTGACTCGGTTCATATAGGTGCACCCTGTCTGCTAGAGTCTCTCTATAGGAAAGAGGGTGTGTATCCACAGCGCCTGGAGATTAAGCCCTGGAAAGCCTATCGAGACTACCGTAAAGAGGGCTATGGGCTACTTATCCTGTGAGTAAAGACCTAGAAGGACACACACCGCTTTGTGCTGAGAATGCTCTGTGCTTATGTTGGGTTGAGGTGTAAAGGCAAAGGATGCTAAGAGCAAATAGTTCAGATTGCTGTTTCATAAATATGGTAGTAGTTTCATTATTTATAAATATTAAATGGGAGAAAGTCCAAGTGTCATTTATAGGTGATGGATACTTTGCAATCACATTCAACCTATTTTTTAAAGGTTTTCTTTAAGGTTCTTTGTCTTTTGGGACCACATTTTTATCCTGAAAGCAAGCAAGGTTATCAAGGCGAACCAGTGTATCATTGTCTGGTTAACTTGGACCTAACCCTCCTGGCAACATTAGAATGGAAAAATTGCAGCAGGAAAAAAAAAAGCCAGTTTTAGATCAAATGCACATAAGATAACGTTCAAGCTAGAAGGGAAATGCAGAATGTGAAGAATGCTGTATAATGGTGATTTACTATCTCAGTAAAAGTCACTGACCACTTTCAGTGATTTCCTCCAAAGATCAGTGACAACAGAAGCATCTAGTACATCTTCCCAAAAGCTGAACAGGACTCTCAAAGTTTTAGGAGAAATTAAGTCAAAAGCATTTCAGAAAAAACCCAGCATAAACCCACATGCATAAGGTATATTTCCATGTATGCTCAAGCTTCACTAAGGGGAAATTTTGTCTTTATTTTATTTAAAGGAAGTAACATATTGGGATGCAAAGTCCTTTTTCCATACTATCAAACTTGATTAGTCTGCTTGTTATCTTCCTTAAAATATATTAGCATTCACTTACGGAAACTACCCAGGTTTAATATTGTTTTAACATTTCCTCATACACCTTTTATTTTAACCAGGAAATATTAAATTTCTTTTAATCACTTGGATATTTGTTTTTCACAGAGAAGGGAAGGACTGGCAGAGAGTAAGAAGTGCATTTCAGAAGAAATTAATGAAACCCATGGAAATTGTAAAGTTGGACACTAAAATCAATGAGGTACTGCATAAGTATAGGTGTTCAAAATTATCTCTAAAAGTTTGATCCAGGCACAGGTGTAATTTCAAATTTGTGACACTCTTGTTATTATGTGGATTGCTTTAAAAGAGGGAGGGAGGAAATTAGAAAAGTGTCTCTCCAGAAATCACGTGAAATCTTTCTTAACTTATACCAGTTGGAAATCTAGTTGAAACAACAATTTTGAATGCATCTCACTGATTTTCCTGGCATGTACAAATGTATCAATCAGAGAAAAGTGAAGGCTACAATTTCCTTTTTAGCATGCCAAATTTCTATATGCGGGAAGAGGAAGTATTAAAGTGAAGAGCAGGTATTCATATCTTAGCCTTCAATTGCAAATGGCTTAAAAGCATATTGCTTAATTTCTATTTCACTTTACTATTTCACTAGTATCCATCAGGTACTACCCTGTTTCTCCAACAATACGGCCTCCCCCAATAGGAAGTCCCAGCATGTTTTATAGGTATGAAATGAAATTAAGCCCCTCCCCCCAAATTGAGGCCTATATTAAAACATGCAAAATGGGGAGGAATGGTGTGGGGACTTGCCGTTAGAAAGTACTTTTGTTGCATACCTGGATATGGTGTTGCCTGCGTTGACCCCGATACGAAGTGCCCCACCAACACCGAGGTCAACATCCAAGCTGTCACCACCTGCCCGAAGATGCAAGGGGGGCGGGGGAATTAAGTCACCCCCGAAAAGACGGCCGAGCCATTTTTTCGGGGCTCAAAAAAAAATAAGACCCAGCCTTATTATATGAGAAACACGGAAAATTATATATTTTTCACATCTGACTTAGTTAAAGTTACCAAATGAAAAGTGCTTTTCCATCCCTATGATAATTTTGATCACCCCTTTTCTGTATCTTTTCCACAGCATCTGTTTTATAATGCACCGATCAAAGCTTACATGATATTCCAAGTGTAGAATTGGCACATCATAGATTTGAAATTTGATTCACTTCCTAATGACTTTTCATTTTTCTGATGAAGAACACTTAAGAGGTCTTTTCAATCTCTTTCACAGGTCCTAGCTGATTTTATGCAGCAGATGGACACACTCTGTAACCAGAATGGAGAAATAGAAGATTTATATTCTGCCCTGAATAAATGGTCATTTGAAAGTAAGCTTTTCATTCATTCTGGGTTCAGTGCTGCTTTTTCTCTATACTAAAATGTATATATGTAGGTTACTTTCCCCAATCTGGAGTTCTCAGAATGCCTTAACCAGGATGGCCATGTTGGCTAACAATTCTGGGATGTTCCCTCCTAATAGAACTGAAAGGCACCATGTAAAGATCAGCTAAAGAACAAGTTTGGTGTAGTGGTTAAATTGCTGGCCTAAATACTAGGAGACCATGAGTTTAAGCCCTACCATAGGCATGAAAGCTAGTTGGGTGGCTTTGGACCAATCATTCTGTTTTAGTCCAACCCATCTCATAGGATTATTATTGTTGGGAAAATAAGTGAAGAAGGACTTTTAGGAATGTTACCTACCTTGATTTACTTATAAAATAATAGAGATGGGATAAATTTTTTTATAAATAAATAAACTTTCTCCATGTAGAGAGGAACTCTGGCCAGTTGCTTATTACTAAATGCATTGTCCTTGGGGGGTCTCATTAGTAGTATTACTGGACATTGTATATTAATTGCATCAAAAGGGGGTGATTGGGTATCATTAAAAGTTCTCAGAGAGATATGTCAAAAAAAAACATAGTCAAGATTCTGGAAAATGCTTTTGCCATCAATTCTTTTTTTTATGCTAGGTATTTGCCTGGTGCTGTATGGGAAAAGGTTTGGACTTTTGCAGCAAGACGTAGAGGAGGAAAGTTTGAACTTTATCAAGGCTGTTAAAACGGTATGAACATGCCACATGCATGATAGCTAACTGATTTTCTGTAAGATATTAGCAAGTCAGAAGTATCTTCTCCTATAGGAATTGCAGTCCAAGGATCCATCTACTCTGCTATTGCACATCCCAGCCTTCCATGCAGTTATTCAATTATTCTGGGGTGTGTCATCTATAAACCTTATTTATTTAGGTCAAGGATCTCAATCAATGGAAACTACTGAGAAGTCCCAACTGGAGCATCCCAATATTTTCCATTGATTGAAGTCCTTGACCTAAATAAATAGAAAAAGCCCTTGATGCTCAATAAGAAAATAAGCTGCAAGGAATAATTCCAGAATATAGAATAATACCTTATAGTAGGCTGGGTCACCGGTTGATTGTTAGTTGCTCTACAGATGTCAGGGATTCTTTTTCCACCACTTTTTATGAAGATTCCAGAGACTATCCCTGGGTCCTTGCAAAGCAGGCATTCAATTTCCAATTGGTAGCCCTCCAGAAATACTTCAGATAGTTGCCCTCCAAATGGTGGACTCAGACTATGTTCATACAAAACCCTTAATCAGATAAAAGAAAGTTCCTAGTTTAACAATCAAAGCTTGGTGCATTTTAATCTCATTAATTTGAGGGACAAGGCTTAATATGTTGTGCAAACCCCATTTGTTGCATAAATCTGAGAGAATTCTGAGAGACTGAGATAATTCAGGATTCAGGTTAGGATTTTGTGCAGTACACTGAAATATGTAAGGATTACTATGATCCCTGGTCCACATGGAACAGCTTCTACTTGGTATTCTAGTTTAAGGTTAGCTCAGTTTATTGAATCTAAGTCAATCCTTTCTCTAACAGTAAAATATATGTTCTTCTGAACTTTTCCTAGTAGTTTAATAATGGTGTTTGTCCTTTTCTTTATTTACTACAGATGATGAGTACTTTTGGGAAGATGATGGTGACACCAGTTGAACTCCATAGAAGTCTAAATACTAAAGTTTGGCAAGCTCATACAAATGCATGGGATAATATATTTAAGACAGGTAACTGAAGAACACTGAAAATATTTTGTGAAATATGCATTTGCATCTTAGGTTGGGCAGTGGATTTTGCATCTTGCATCAACAAACCAGTCTGACTATCTGGAATTCATTTGAACAACTCTGTGGAATAGGTTAGATCAGTGTTTTTTTAACACTTGCAGCCTTATATTATTATCGTTTTCTCTTTTCTTCTGCAGTGAAATGCTCCATTGACAGCAGGCTGAAAAAACACTCTGCAAATCCCTCTGAAGACTTCCTCTGTGACATCTATTTTGGGAGCCAGCTTTCGAAGAAAGAACTATATGCTGCTATTGCAGAGCTTCAGATTGCTGGGGTTGAAACGGTAAATACTGTTTTTATTTTTCATTTGTAAATGAAGAGTGATTTCAAATTTCTGATAACCTGCCACACAAAGGCTTTTTCCTTCTCATTCAGTCTTGTTCTTTCAGGTAGCATTTCTATAGTTAGCATAAAATAAGGGATTTTAACACAGTGATAACATTGGTTTGTACATTCCATTTTGCTATAAGATGCTGTAAGATGTTGTAGTTTTCCTTTTTTTTCTAGGATGATGACTTCAGGCCATTCACCACAATGGTGCATTCCAGAAGTATCTCGTATAACTCAGATCACACACAAATTTTGATCATGATGGGAATTATTGTGGAAAACCTATGGATAACCCCAGGTTGAAGGAGCCTGGTGAACTATCTTGAACTTAACTATCCATTCTTTGGTACAATTCCATGGGAATGATAAGCTGCAATTGATACTGTGTAGGGTTACATGTGTAGGGTTCAAGCTAACTACTTCATTGTATTCTGCCTATACTATAGGGATCTCTCTAGAATACTTGTCTTCTCTTGGGGACAAACAGATAAGGTCTCATGGAATTTGTGGGGGGTAGCGTCAGCCCTAGATCTCTTGCAATTGAGCAATAACTCAAGGCTAATTCCTCTCTTGATGTTGTCTTCTTGCCTGTCTGGCAGTTTCTCAACACCAAGTCACCTAAACTGATAGTCATCTGATAAACTAGATGACTATTTGGACAATTTCACGAAGTCATTTGGAGTTAAGGAGATTATTTCTTTTCAGACAGACATGGGTGGGAAAAACACAAGGACATAAATGCTTGCTTGGCAGTTGGCATCTAGCACTAAATAATTGTGAGATAGCTGACTTCTGCAGCAATCTATCCACACACCACTGTGTCATTCAGTATATATTATGGATGTGCTGCATTTCAGATTCAGTCTCTGAATAATACATAATAATATGTTTACATTACTGAAAATACAGCACCTTGCTTTAAACACCTTTAAAACAGCTGCATCCTTTCCCAAGTTTGTGCAGTAGGGGTAGACGGTACCCATCCAGGAAAAGAGGTTGCTGCTTTGAGATATTGCATTTGAGCTCCACATGCTCTTTTTTCTGTCTCTAGACAGAATCTGAAATTCTGTACAGCCCTGGAGTTTATCCTTTTCATTCCCAAATGTGGTGGAATGTGCACCTTTGAAGGGAGAGGTGGTAGAATGGTGCTGCTTAATGGTGAAGCAGCAGTTTCCTAGGAAGGAGAAACCACATTCAAATGAAGGGAGTGACACAAGAGACAACACAACCCATAACTGCATAGGAGACAGATATTTAAGATGCCACTCCCTAGAATCTCCCAGGGTATATCCATTAGGGTATAGATTTAGTCTGGCAAGATTCTGTCTACATATTAATGAGCAAATAAAGAACTGAACTTTAGCTAGGTCAAATTTCTATGTCATTCTTGGGTTGGGCCTGATATATTTTCTGGGCTGTATTGCAAACAAACATCCATCTGCAGCAGAATCTTCTGGGATAGGAAAGCTCTGGATTTGTTGAATCCTTGAACAGGATGTAAAACATAGTAGAATCCTACCAGATATAGTCAGTTGCAAGTATATTTAATTAGAAATTACACAACTACATGAATGTAGACTTATGCAGATATTCTGCTTGTATACGTGAGAAGTAACATGAAGAGTGTGAACTGGTGCCTCAAGCCATTCAAAATATTGTTGCCAAGTTCTAATTTTCAAAGCGGCGGAAAGAAAGCATTTAACTTTATTTTGATTAAATCAAATTTAATCCATTCGAACCTTCATTTATTATTAAATTTTGGAAGAGTATTTTTAGCATGACATTTAAGAGCTGTGGAAGGGAGTCTTTGACCTTCCCAAAGGTTGCCAAATTCTGATAGAGTTGATGGGACCAAGTCATCCACCCAAGTCTGAAGAACTGAATCAGAGCTTTTTTCACTTTCTTGTTTCCTATTGGGGGGAGGGGGATTTCTGTTGAATTCTAGAGAAATCTTATGAAAGTTCTACCTGCACAACAGGTAGGAAAATTAGAAGTAGAGGAATTTAATTCTAGTGTTGAAAATGGATGAGAAAAAAGAGACGGTTGCTTATATAAAAGTTGAAAGCAGAAAAAACTTTGAATGGTCCTACTGTGACCTTGTTGTCCTTCAGAAAGGGGCAGTAAAGGTTTTGGACAGAAGTTCAAAACTCTGTAATACATCTTACAACACACAAGTACAGGTAGACCTTGAACTGAGGCCGGAATTATGGTTGTAAGCTGTTACACTTGTAAATCAAGGCATCATTTTTTGACAATTTTTGAAGCAGTCATTAAGGAAATGCTGTGGTTGTTAGGCAAATATGTTTTATCCAGTGGATGTTTTTTTTTTCCTGGAAACTACAAATAAATTATGGAAACTGGCAAAAAACATCAAAAATCACAGTCATATGAATGTGAGATCCTGCAAACAGCGATAAAGGTGAGTCAGTAGCCAAGCACCCAAAATGCAATCGAGTGACCTTGTGTATGCGTGCACATTCTTCCCTATTAATTTTGCTGGTCAGAAAGTCTCAAAAGGGGATCATATGATCCCGGGACACTGCAACCGTCATAAATGTGGGTCACTTGCCAAATTTCAGTTATGTGACCAAAGATCATAAGTGTAAAAAACTATCATACGCCATTTTTTTCAATGCTGTTGTAACTTTGAACGGTCATTAAATGAACTGTTGTAAGTCGAGGACTTGTATTGGAATCATTGTAATATATAGGCCTACGTCAGAGAGCTGACAGGGAAGCAGCTTATCTAGTTCATTGGATATGGGGCAACTATACATATATTTTTACCTGTGTTTCACTTTTTGTCTTCTTGCATGGAGGCTAACTTCTTATTACAGATGCTCTGAACTTGTACTAGGGAGACCAGATTTTACTCATCCACATTTGAGACTAGATGAGTAGGGCATAGAATAGAATAGAATAGAATAGAATAGAATAGAATTCTTTACTGGCCAAGTGTGATTGGACACACAAGGAATTTGTCTTGGTGCAAATGCTCTCAGTGTACATAAAAGAAAAGATACATTCATCAAGAGTAAAGAGTCATAAGGTACAACATTTAATGATAGTCATAGGTTACAATAAACAATCAAATCATACCAGGAAACAGTCAATAAAAATATCATAAGGATACAAGCAACAAAGTTACAGTCATACAGTCACAAGTGGGAGGGGAGGGGTGATAAGGAGTGATGAGAAGATTAATAGTAATAGTAGTGAAGACTTTGTAAATAGTTGGACACTGTTGAGGGAATTATTTGTTGAGCAGAGTGATGGCATTCAGGAAAAAACTGTCCTTGTGTCTAGTTGTTCGGGTGTACAGTGCTCTATAGTGTCGTTTTGAGGGTAGGATTTGAAACAGCTTATGTCCACATACACAAAGGATATAAGGGTATATTTGAGGATATAAAATTGCAGTGAGTACTTTGCCAGAACCATGTCAGAAGCAATAATGTGTGGGACTGGGACAAAAAAATATGCAATTTTATTTTCTTTCTTAATTAAAATTAAATAGTTAATGTGGGCACCCTCCATTATACATTTAATAATATTTCCTTCTGTTTCATTACAAGTTTATACTTATAATTGGATAATTGAGGCTTTTAGAAGCTCATTTGGCCTCAGAACTTCAGATTATCCATCTTGGTTTCCATCAACTGCTAAATCTCCAAATTGTAGGGTCATAGACATTTCTCTAAATTGTGAAGCCTAATGTTTTTAAGTGTCTTCACATTTTTTTACAGAACCATTCCTAGGATAAGAGCAAGTTCAGGCTTTTTACCTACCAAAGTTGCCTATAGAACAAAACATTTTTGTTTTGTATTATGTGTTTAGGTTTCCTCTGTTACTATAATAATCCAGAGTGATTTCTGTTGACTTTGTTTTTAGACTGCCAACAGTTTACTTTGGGCTCTGTACAACATCTCCTACAAGCCAGATGTCCAGGCAAAGCTGTTTGAGGAGATACAGAATGTGGTATTACCTGGAGAAGACCCAAATTGTGAACACCTGAAAAAAATGCCCTATTTGAAGGCATGCCTGAAAGAGTCAATGAGGTAAACTGATTCACAAACCTAAGAATAAAATTATTATTTCCCCTTGAATTGACAGCTGTAGAGCAAAAAATTCAAGTAAATATTGATAGCTCAAAAGAAGACTGATGTAACATGAATACATAAATAGAACAGGCTGAAATTCCACCTGGGCCACATTTTTCTCTTTGTTTGAGAAAACAAGAGCATGATGTAATGGTGTATGAAGAAGACTTTGGGAGACAAGGGAAAGAGATGCTACCTAGGGAATGGTCAGATAAGAGATAGCATAGCCCACAGATGGATAATGGGCAACACAAAAGGTTAAAAGGGACCCTTCTTAGGGTTGCCACAACCCAGTCTCTAAAAAATATAACAATTTTGTTGGAAATTGAAACTTCTGTGAAGAGTGAAGAATTTTGAAATGGTCACACCAAACCTTTCTAAGATAAGGATGTTAACACATTCATGGTGCTCTGAGCAACAGATTTGGAAAGTCACTTTGGTTACATGGATGTTTTGTATAGTGGTGGTGCAGTGGTTAGAATGCAGTACTGCAGGCTACTTCTGGTAACTGCCGGCTGCCAGCAGTTTGGCAGTTTGAATCTCAAGGTTGACTCAACCTTCTATCCTTCCAAGGTTGGTAAAATGAGGACCCAGATTGTTGGGGGAAATATGCTGACTCTGTATAGAGGGCTTAGAGAGGGCTGTAAAGCACTGTGAAGTGGTATATAAGTCTAAGTACTAGTGCTAGTGCTATAGTCCAGCTGATAATGTGTGTCTCCCTTGATAGATTTGTTTGACATCCCAAATAAAGTGCATTTATCCCATTTTACTGTAGGTTAACACCTTCTGTGCCATTTACCACTAGAACCCTTGATAAAGAAACAGTCCTTGGGGATTATGCTCTTCCAAAAGGGGTAAGTGACTTCCACCATGTATTGTAAGTGCTCAATTTATTTTGATTTAATGGTTGAATGCATAACCTGTTTTTCAACCAACAATAGCACTTTTATAAAATGTGATTGGCCTTATATCTTATCACACTTACTAGCATATCAATGTTTGGGAGAGGTCCTGCATGGTATTTAGCATGGCCAGATCTCATAAATAAATGTTCTTCTTTATGTCTTAATAAATGCCAAGCACAGTGTTGCAATTGCTTTTAAATCTTAAACACTTCTTAGATATACAGATAGTGATTCAAAGCTGTAGGCCTTAAATACCCTCAAACATCATTTTTACATCTCCTGGTAGCAGTTTCTCACATGATTTCTTTCCATTATGAGTTAGGAATACACATGCAAGCTGTAATGTAAAGATCTACACTGCATTTAACATAGATTAAGCAAAAGTAGAAAAAAACCCCTTCCTTATCACTCCCCAAAATGCAGAAAAAATTATCTTTATTCTATCCATACGTATGACACCCAGTTTTATTCATTTGATTCTTCACTTATACCCACAAAATATTGTCTGTGGTCTTTTGCTATATAAAAAAATATAATATCCAGCTTTTCCTGATCAGATAACAGTAATTTTCTCTGGCATGTGTTTATTTATTAGATTTATTAGGCCACCCTATCTCAAGTACATAACTCTGGGTGGCTAACAATATGAAAAATAATAAATTACATTTTTTTAAAAATAGAAAAGATCAAATAGAACAATAAAAAGAAAATTACAAAAACATTGCTCATCAATCCCAAAAATGAGCTCCATCACACAGTTGTGGCCTCAGATTCAAAGAGCACTGAGCCACTGAGCAAACTGTGAGATATCCTTCAGTATATTTTATTTATTTTAAATTCTGTTGATCCAGCATTCATTGTATTATTGTAGGAGTTATTTGGGAAATTGAATAATGACTGCTGCCTTCATACCCATGTTGCTTAACACAACATCCTTAACCAGCTTATTCAAGAGCTTATCAACAACATTCTACCTCAGGGGTTTCAAACTCAAGGCCTGGGGGCCAGATCCAGCCCACAGGGTACTTAGATTTGGCCTGCAGGGCTACCCTGGAAACAATGAAGGACTGGTTTGTGGTGCTTTTGCCAGTGAAAATGGGTTCCTGAGCTCTGTTTTTACTGGCAGGGGGTTGCAGGAGGCCCTGGTGGCAGCCGAAAATGGAGCTAAAGAGCCTGTTTTCTCTGGCAGAGCACTTGGGCCACCACAAGTGCCCTCGACAGGAGTGGCATTGAGCTGGCAACACCCACCCTGGCCACACCCACTCCAGCCCTCCAAGGTCAAACACAACCCTGATGCGGCCCTCAATGAAATCAAGTTTGACATTCCTGTTCTATTGATTTTGCCTTATGCAAGCTAAGTTTGTTTGATTAGATTCAATGTATTGAGTGCAATGTATTGAGTGAATTAATGAGTTAATTCAGTAAGCAGATTGCCATGTGTGAACATGATCAGTATATATAAGCAGACATTTAACCAATGTCGTTCTTCCCTGAACCCCAAAGTAGTAAAGTTATTGAGAAGAAAATCATTTGTTGATTATTCAGTGAACTGCCCAGTTAAATAATAAAACATATTTTCACATCACTGCTCTTCCTAAAAAAATTATTTTAAATTATAAGGCCTAATCCTAATCTCTTAGAGGTGAGGAAAGTTTTTGTTTCTGTAGCATTACTTAACATGCTTGAAGTCTGATCCTGATCCTGAAAATGGCTCCTAATAAGATTTAACTTGTCTTCAAAAAGAGGAAACAACCCTGTATTTTTTTCCCTAAGAATGCCATTTCTCCAAAGAACTATAATCCTGCCTTTTTTTAATTCACTGGAAATATATCTTCATTGCAAGAAGTTTTGAAAATTCTTGTCATAATTTTATCTCTTGTTGTTGATTATGATATTTTCATTGGATTGTGATATGTTTCTACTTTAGGTTCAGCATCAGTGTTTTGATATAGGCAACTTTGAGTCTTTCCGCCCTCCCCCAAAGCAAAATATGTCCATGTTCCATGTTCCACTCATTTGACGTTTTTCTCATTGCTTTGTAAACACACTTTGTGTATTTGTGTTTGTATTTACAGACTGTCTTGATGCTTAACACTTACGCTCTGGGATGCAATGAAGAATATTTCAGTAACTGGAGTGAATTTCAGCCAGAACGTTGGTTGCAAAAAACTATCCATCCATTTTCTCATGCTCCATTTGGCATTGGAAAAAGAATGTGTGTTGGGCGCCGACTGGCAGAGCTGCAACTTCAGCTAGCTCTCTGTTGGGTAAGTGTTCAGTTATTTTAAATACAAATCTCTCCATTAGTCTGTACAAAAGAGAAACCATTCTATGGCAGCAGAAATGTATGGATGATCTTGGAGAAAGAGGAAAAGAGATGCCACCTAGATAATGGTCAGACAAGAGAGAGAAGAACCCATAGTCACTTAATGGTCAGAGAGGAAAAAAAAAACTTAAGAAAGACCTGCCAAAATTGATCAGACAGTTAAAAGTGATGGTGGGAAGTTTGTACTTCCAGACTTGCAAGAGATGTTAGACTTACAGAAATGTGGAATTAACTCTTCTAGTTGTGTTTCTTATCTGGTTTACCTGGAAGAGCTGACATCCATATAAGTGATTTATACCTACATATAATCTTGCAATTAACTGCAATTTTGTTAATCTCTGATGGTATTTTGCTGGAGAGAGAGAGAGATCTGAGAGCCTAAGGCCTTTTTTTCCCCCCAAAGCAGGGAATATAACTGCTTTGCATGTACCATAGCAAGGGCTTGACCTTAATGTTCTTCTTCAAGCATGGCCACAAGAAAAGATGTATGTATGTTCCTGCTTTGGCTTTGCATTCATCACAGTTCACTGCATCCATTGAATCCAATATGTGTGATGAATCTTAATGAGGATTAGAAGAAACAAGCCACTTTCCAAGCACAGATTACAAAACTGGCTAGTTTTCACAGTTTAGGATTTAAAGGTAGAAAACTTATCTGTTTTCAATTTCCAGTTGGTGAAGAAATGCTCAGTTTCCCTCCTTGTCATTTCCCTGGAGCATGGAAGAGCAGAGAATGCAAGCTTTTTGTTTCATTAAGCTAATGTATTAAAGTATTAGTGGAAGTTTATTACAATCTTTAATATATCAACACTGATTTTTTAAAGAAAAGTTATAGAACAGCTTATAGAACAGTTATAGAACAGTTCTTACATGAAGTGTGAGGGCCAAAATTTCTTGAGAAACAATCTGTTTAAGGTTTTTCTAGCCAAGCCGTACTGGAAGAACTGAAAAGTTACATTGGAGCCAGGGGTGTGATTCAAATTTCTTAACAACCGGTTCTGTGGGTGTGCCCTAATTTGTGGGTGTGGCTTGGTGGTCATGGCTTGCTGACTGGGCATGGCTTGGTGGTCATGTGACTGGCTGGGCATGGCTTGTATGTAAATATTGTAAATATTTATGTAAATATAGAATTTTTTATTTAAAAAAAGAGCAACTTTTACCCAAAATGAGGCAAAGCAGGCAGGCAGATTGAGTTGCTTGCAGAATCACAGAGTCACTCGCAGATCTACCTTTCTGCAATCTGCTGCCTGAGTCTGCACTGAAAAATAGAAACTTCAGTCCTAAGGAAGGTTCAGTTCTGCTCTCAGGCCAGTGGGGTGATTTGCCGGTTCTCTGAACTGTGCTGAATCATAACAACCGGTTCTATAGAACTGGTCCAAACCGGTAGAATCCCACCCCTGATTGGAGCAACTTTTGCCTTTGTACTGGAGGGCAAATTGTCTTTTTGACAAGATGAATTTCCAATTTTCATTAAATCCAGGAGGAGGTTGCTCTTTGCAAGAAATCTTCAAACAGAGGCTGAATGTTGTCTATCAGAGGTGCTATAGTGATCCTGCACTCAATAAAGGATTGAACCAGAAGATTCCTTCCAATTTTAGGGTTCTGTGATTCTGTGTTTGCCTTCCAAAGGTGAAGCGACCAAATGAAAGCATTGCTACAATCCTTCCTTCCTAAAAAAAAATATTGCTTATTTCTCTTACTGAAATGGATGAACTTTTCAAAGCCTTATGAACTTTGCTGTATCATATTTTCCTGCTATTACTGCCTGTGGGGTTAAACTTTGACTGATAGGTTCCCCAGTTCAGAATAAATCTTGATTACAGGTTGGGGAGGCTCTAATGAACTTCATTTCCCCCCTTGTATTACAGCTTATACGGAAGTATCAGATTATAGCTACTGATGACAAGCCGGTAGAAGCTCTTCACTTAGGAATACTCATCCCCAACCGAGAACTTCCAATTGCATTCAAACAACGCTAAGGTAAAAATTAGTGTCCCATTATGGAGTTAATTATATGTTTAAGGTGACCTTTAAAGGTCAAAAACAAAGATTCTTCAGAGATGAAATGAGGATGATTGTCAGTTGTTAAGAGTAATTCTATTTGCATGCTTTTGAAAAGGAAAATTTTTAGCCCTCATGATTGCAGAGGGATGGTGAAAGAAAAGAAGGAAAACAATGCAATTTGTTAATATCCTACGTTTTGAAAGCATATGCAAACACAGACAAAAATTTGGGTCATGATTGACCTCCATTTTGTCAAGTACAGAATCCATCTCCAAGTGCACTAATTGAATAATTAAAAGATTAAAATTAGTTAAAGGTGATATATGGACTGAAGGTTCCTAGTGCAAATGCACGTGTGCTACGAATGAAATAAATAAGACATTTTAAAGTTCTATTTTTATCAATTACTTTTTAAATTTGGCTACTAAGGCCTTTCATAAGTATATTGGTAATATACTTATGAAATATAGTATACTCATAAATACTATAGTAGGATAACTGTTTCCTTTTTCTTCCCGAACTGAACAATTTATTAAGTTGTCTCTTTGTTTTCCCATAGATTCTACTGGAGGAACAGCTGACACTTTTGTTAAGACAGCATTCTTGAATTTTGGATTCCCAGATCCTGCTAGAGTCTAGTTATATTTTGAGCAATGTGTGTTAGCAGCAAGGACAGAACAGCAGGAATCCAAAGGTAGCTTGAAGGCAAATCAGTCAAGCTATATTGAGCACACCTAAGTAGTCACTTCACATTATTGTAAAAGTTATACCAAAGGTTCCAAATGGAAGAATGGCAGACTTACAAACTTGGAGGTTCTTTTCACCTAATCTTGGGATGAAAGAAAAGTCCATTCTTCTTCATCTGCTGCTGTGAAATGTACAGTTCTCGACCCCTGCTGTTAATGTTTGTAGGAAAACAATAATCGCAAAGTGATGGGATGATTGAGTCTCTGAGTTCACTCTTGATCTCAGGATGGAAACACCAGAGGACAAATTTTATCTTGCCTGTCCCCAAATCCTGGTGGAATTTTAAATGAGGACCTTTGTCTGCAAGAGGGTGAACATTATTGCAAAGGGATGGAAAGTATATGTTAGATGTCCATAAAGAGAAAGAATGGTGATAATAGAAGTACTACCCTCAGAGGAGGAAAGCTGTGTTAGTCTACAGTGGAAAAAAATCTGGAATGTGAATGTAGGATTTGTAGAAAGGCTGAAGGGCTGTATTTGAAGTATGTCTGATTCTCTCTGATGTTGCATTGTTGTAACTACTGGCCCCTTGAGCAAACTCAGCAACTATATACAGAGAACATACAAACACGCACGCACTCACACAGAGGCTTTCAGGCAGACAGAACAATGAGTCACATTACAGAATGCAGACCACCCAAATTGTTATGAGCCCTTCAAGGTGATGCATACTTTGGAGACCAGAACAAATAACTTATGCTTGGTCACAGTGAACTGTGCACTTGATGACTCCATCTATGAGGTTAATAAGATTGTACAAGCAGACTAGTACAATTTATTTTCCACCAGATCAAATCCAGTTCCTAAATTATTTGTAGCAGTCCAACAAGGTCCAGTAACTTTTTCCTTTTGCTAACTGAAGCCTCGAGGCCATCATTAGGTATACAGATGCCTTAAATGGCAGGTATCATGGGAACAATGGCAGGTCTAGCTATTCCCTCCTCTCCAATATAGACACTCAAAATAACCTGCCCTCCACCTTTTAAGCTGTTTATCAGCTTTCACGTGTGGATGGTAGCAGAGGGAGATGGGGTGCTATTTTTTTTATTTTGCCACAATCAACAGTATGTCTTGGATTCGTCAGGTGTGATGATCATAATCTTTAACTGCCTCTAAAACAAGAGCAAACAAATTCTTTGGTACAATGTTGTAAGAGTTGCACACAGGTTTTTCATCTCTGAACTTAGAGCAACAAGATGTGATTCATTATGCACTCGACTTTCAGGTCTGTGAGCTGCCACTGTTGGAAATAGGATGCTACCCTGTTTAGACAATCAGTCTAGTCCAGCAAGGTTCCACTTCAGTTTCCAAATTCACACTGATATATCACAATTTATGCAGAATGTAACATCAGCCTTACAGCATTCCATAGAATATAAGAATTACAGTACCTAGGTATTTTCTTGTATTCCTTTTGATAGTTTCCTTCTTATTTTGTTTTTACGTGTATTTGTTTATAAAAAAGTAAATGTGTTTTTTTAAAGATGTCTCTATATTTTGAAGAGTTGTTCATTGCTTATTTTTTCTTTTGTTTTTTTAAAAACAAGATTTTAACATCCATTGATCATTGATATTAAACCCACTGTTCTGAGAATTTTATAATAAAAAGAATTTGTGCATATGGTTTTTTTTTTATTTGCATTGAACGTAATCCATGTCAAGCACCTTTTTTCAAGATTAGCACACTTTATAAATTGCTTGTAGTTGTGATACAATTCAAAATGGCTTTGCCCCGAATGCAAGGTTTGTACAAAATTATGATGTTGAGATTTCTTTAAAAATAATTTCCTCTAAATCTAAACTGGAGCCCAGACATCTTTCAAAATCCAAATCTCATTGCAGGAATCAATCAGCCCACATAGCACAAATACAACTCCCCACCCAAAATTAAAACTGTTTCCCCAATTCATATAACCCCAAACTAATGCATCATTCTACTGTATATTATATATCTCTGGAACATCTTACCCCTCGATGTGAGGTAGGCCCTAACCCTCCTATCCTTTCGTAAGGCCCTAAAGACATGCCTCTGCCATTTGAGTTGGAGTCCCAGTGGGGGAACAGCTCAACAGAAGTGATTGATTAACAACAGATCCTACCTTTTCTCCACTCTGCTCCCACCCTCCCGATGTGTCTGGTTTTAATTTTTTATGTATTAAAGTAGGTATATTTTTTATGACTGGAAACCACCCAGATTTACCCTATGAGTGGCCACTAAATTTTATAAATAATCCAAAAAATACTCTTGTATGCTTGAAAAAGAAATTAGCCAAATTTGGAGTAAGGGATAGAAGTGGGAAAAAGTTGGGGGAAAGAAGAAGTCAAGCACTTCACATCCATTCCTAAAATTCTTTGTTAGCACAACTCTATCAAAGATAATTTAGTAGGAGCTAAAGTTCTCAATCACAAAATTGCATTCCACACTCCAATTTTCATTTTATGAACATTTGGAAAAAGCAGGAGAAATGTAGGCTCTCTATGCCATTCTGTCTTTATGCGTCTTTATGCATTTCTGAAGTTCTGGAAGATCAGAAATTTGGTTTTGATCTGTTTCAAAAGAACCCTGCTTCAATTAGCACATCCAAGAAATTTATCTAGATCTGTTCAATTGGTTTCAGATTTAGGATTGACCTGAATCCAATATACATCTATTGTAAACTTTGTGGTGTTCCAAGCTATTTCTTTACCTCGCCTATAATTTGTGGATTACCACCATATTTCCATTCTATGATTTCCATATACAGTTTGTTCAATGTTGCCACATCAGAATTGGAATACTAGTTAATATTCTGGCTGAAAAGAAAGAGGAAGTATTTCTCAGATATGTATTGATGTCACTGAAAATTGGACCTCAAGAGCAGTAACTCTATGACTTTATAACTTAGTCTAAGTCATAAACACATCTGTCAAATATCATGTTGAAATGATCCTCAACTTACAACCACAATTGGAATCAGAATTTCCATTGCTAAGCAAGGCAGTTGTTAAGGGAGTCACGCCCAATTTTAGGATTATTTTTGACATGATTGCCTAATCATTGTGGTTTTTAAGTAATTCCCACAGACATTAAGTGAATCTAGTTTTCCCCATTGACTTTGTCAGAAGCTGGCTGGGAAAGTCACAAATGGTGATTTCTTGACCTGCAACATCTTAAATTCATGTGGTTACCAAGCATCCAAATTTTGATCACATGCTATGGGGATGCTGGGATGATCATAGGTGCAAGGACTGCTTGTAAATCACATTTTGCGATGCTTCTTTGAATAGTGTAAGTTGAAGACTGCCTATATTGGCCAGTCTGGTTTGATATGCTTCTGTATAGACGAGCAGTTCACTTTTCAGATTCAGATTCAGATTTTCCCATATATTTCACCCCTGAAATATTTCACACTGAATATGGATCCTTATCAGAGATAGTATTCAGCAGGTTCTGACCAGTTCTGGAGAACCGGTGGCAGAAATTTGGAGTAGTTCAGAGAACTGGGAATGGAAATCTTGAGTAGTTTGGAATACCACCTCTGACTGATTAGTGGGGTGGGGTGGAAGTGGAGATTTTGCAATATCCTTCCCCTGCCACACCCACCAAGCCATGCCCACAGAACTGATAGTAAAAAAAATTGAATCCCACCACTGATCCTTACCAATAAATATATTATTCTTTCATCTGCTAGCTAATTCATGCATAAGTCATAGTGTCTCAAGAGTACATAAACAAAACTTATTCACTCCATGATCCACTGGTGAGTTGGTAGGCAAACCTAGTCTCAGAAGTGTGTAATGCTAACACTATAAGTAGGATTTTCCATTAGAGAGGAATAAGTGTTTAATACAGCATTAAAATGAGCTGAGGCTAGGGAAGACTTCAAAAATACCATAAAAACAGCTTATTCAGATATATTTACAATCAAAGCAAACTATTGTTTTTGTTGTTGTTTTAACAATTTATTCTAGTTAACAATGAAGAGGTCATGCAAAACCCTCCAAGGAGAAAAGCAACCTAGAGTTAAGGTGTAAATTCCTAATGGTTAGAGCAATCAAACAATGGAATAGCTTGCCTTCAAAACTTGTGTGTGCCCCATCACTGGAGACTTTTCAAAAGAGACTAGACAACCACTTGTCTGAAATGGTATAGAATCTCCTGCTTGAGTAGGAATTTGGATTAGAAGACCTCCTAAGGTCTCCTCCAGTTCTATTATAATATGTGCTATAAGGACATTTTTTTAAAATCACAACTTATTCAACTTTTGATTCAAATATCTCTAAGAGTACACAAACCAAACAATGAATTACTAGAAGAGAGGTATCTTAGCTAAAGTTTGATACTCATAAATTGCCTATTGACTTAGCTTTGATTAGATTCCACCTTGAGTACTCTGACCATTTCTGTACATCACATTTTTGGAACACTTGGAAAAGGCAACAAGTATGATCAGGAACCAAAGATGAAGAGAAGTTGAAGAAGCAAGGAATATAATAGCAGTCTTCAAATTCCCAAAAGTGTGTTTCACAGGAAACAATTATCTTTTATTCTGGGATATAGGGGAAGCAGCTCAATGGCCTAGAGATGAAGATGCTCGCCTCCAACTCAAAAGGTTGAGAGTTCAATCCTAGGCAGTGACAGATGTTTCTCTATCAAGGTGCAAAGAGCAAATATTTGCTGCAAACTCCACTTAGGCATCAGGAAGGGCATCTGGCCAGTAAACTTTCAGCTTCATTCAGTTGCTTTGAATCCAAGCCAATAAAACAGATTACAGGGTTGTAAAAAGAAAAAAAATCTGAAGAATAAGACATGGAATAACAAATTTAAGTTACAGAAAAACAGATTCTAACTGAATGTTGGGGTTTTAAAAAAAAAGCTTTCCGAAAGTAAAAATAATTTGACAGAGAGGCCAATTTCCCAGAGAGTTGATGAATTCCCCATACCAGAGGTGGTATTCAGCAGGATCTGACCAGTTCTGGAGAACCAGTAGCAGAAATTTTGAATAGTTTGGAGAACCAGCAAATACTACCTTGACTGGAGATTTTACAGTATCCTTCTCCTGCCACGCCCACCAAGCCACCCCCACAGAACTGGTAGTAAAAAAAAATGAACCCCACCACTGCCCCATACTGAGTACATTCAATCAGACTGGATAGCCATCTATTATGTTTTCATTTGAATTTTTAAATTGGGGGGGGGGGCTGCATGAGGTGGCTTTAATGGCTACTTCCAAGCTTGTGATTCTATGAAATGTTGCAGTAGATTCTTGCCTAATATTCAGGGTGCTGGTTAAGGTATGACTAGAGAAACACAAGCCGCACATAAGCAACCTGTGGAATTTTGAGAGAATGTGATAGATTGTATTCACAAAATGGCTTCTTGATCGACTCTACGAAAAATGGCTACCATAGTGGTCATGACAGAAAGTGGGCCCTGTACTTGTGGGAATAAAATAGGAAGAAGAAGTGGTCATGACCAGGGCCCAAAGATTTATCAGAACCCAATCTAGTGGACAAGAATGTTTCTTCCATCCTAATAGGACCTTTGTGGATCCCAAAGCATTCCTGTAAAAATGCCTGACATTTACTCTTATTTAAAATAACGATTTAGGAAAAATTTAAAAAAGATAATAGTAGTCTATAAGATAGCTGGGCTATGGGCTACCTCTTCCACAAGCTTTTTTGAAAGGATTTAGTCTTTCTCCTTCCAGTAATAATAGATTTGTATGTTATTCCAGTCCATGTTGGGTGCAACATTTGTCTTCTAAATGGAAGAATTCATAGAAGAAAGTTCCTACCAAGCAACTTAACTGAATACCGAATCTTGAATATCAAAATTTTTAAAGGCCACTTAGATTTTCACTGGAGAATCAATCTTTCCAACCATGTAGGCTTTCTCTGCAGCCCCCACCACCACACACACTCATGCACACACACAACAAACACACACTACAGAGTTACACTCATTAACATAGTCAGAACTGGATGGAAGTGCAACCTGAAGCATTTTAAATATTCACCTTACTTTCTCACCTTTGAACCTCTTAGCAAGATTGAACTTCTGCCCCAAAAACCACAGAGTTGAACATTTTATACCTTTGGATCTATTTATAACATTTTACTTACCAAGCAAGATGACCGCTTCTGATGCAATAGTTGGCACTTCCATTTGATCACCTGCAAAAATAGGCATGACTTGTTTTTAAAACCACCTTATAGCAGCTTAGCCGGTCTGGCCAAAGGACAATTGACAGGGCATTAAAGTACTATTTGAGCAATACAACTGGAGAATACAAGAAGTCAAACAGGGCATTCTTTATGAGTGATAGTCAATATTCTATGATTAATTTGAGGTTGTTGTGACCTGAAAGGATAGGGACAGAACATCATGGAGAAATCTCCAGTATCTAACTATGGAATCACTAAAAGTCAATGCCAACATGATAGCATATAATCAGTAGAATACTTTGCCCTTAAAGCTTAGTGTCTAAGACAGCATTTTCTTGGTAACCCTAAATCATGTTTCCATTTCTCTCTTGCTTCTTATTGACTTGGCTTAATTTTTGTCAATACTCCAACTTTTAACTGATTATTTAAGTGGGAAATATTTCTCAG